CTATAGGTCAAATGGAACTTTTGACTGTGCAAATTTGCACTGTGATTCTTGAGACTTGGTATATAGATGATAGAGAATGTATATAGGCCTATGAGACTTGATTGAACCATTGAGAACCCTAAATTCCTTGAAAGAACCAAAACCCTAATTTCAGCTGTCTTAGGAAGTGATTTGACTGTCTACCTCTTGAGCAATCTTGAACAATTTGAGGATCATTCTTGACAAATCCTGAGGAATATGGGAGGGAAAATTTTGGGGTACAACAGAATGTTTTCTGGAAAAACTATATATCACAACTGTGATAATACACAAAATGAAGCTTATGTAAAACTAGCTTGCTAGAACTATGGAGTAAGCAATTGAGAGCTTTAGCAAACTGTATGAGTGAGGATGAAGATGATTGACTTTAGGCGTGTAGAGTATTGTAGAGCATTATAGAGCATTAGCCGATTCACTTCTCACTGATTTGTTTAAATACTTCTTGGAAAAGATACGTTGATGCCAATTATTCCATTTCAATGCTCATTACGTTCTTTCCATATTGAGAAGATCTCTGTCTTGGAATAATGTCGTTGGTAATTAATCTGCCTTGAATGCAGTACCGTTGACACTTCAGAATGTTCTGCATAGTGAAGATCTGAGCGTTCTTGGCTTTAGCTTATTCTGATTGCTTCTGAGTGCTGATGACATAGTTAAGATCTTGATCAGATTCAGAGTATGTTGAGCGCAGATTCTGTTCATCAGAATTCAGCGTAGCATAGGTATTGATCTTCTGGTTGACATCTTCTGATGCTGATGTTGATATTCTGATGCTGATTCCATCAGAGTTTCCTGTAAATAAACAGCATAATTTTAAGTAGCATCTATGTCAAATATAAAACTCATAATTCATTTAATCTTGTACTTTGTTATCATCAAAACTCTAACTGAGGGTTGTAAAATCAAACTATGTTCTAACACTTTAAACTGCTGTCATAGGTTTAATCAGAACTTTCAGCCTCCCTCTTACAGTAGCAGTCCCTATCATGCTTCCCCTTGGAAGTTTCCTAAGGTGCTCTATGGTCATTTCCCTGCTAATGTGTGGACACGACCTCCAACTTCTCAAGCAAGGCCAGCTCTTACCTATTCTTCTCCCAGCACATTCATTGCAAATGCCACTCCTTCTTCCTCTGCTATGTCCTGGTATCCTGATTCTGGAGCTTCCTATCATGTCACCAATGATGCAAATAATCTGCAACAGGCTACACCTTTTAAGGGTCATGAACAAATCTACATAGGCAATGGCCAAGGTCTTCTCATCAACTCTACTGGTTCTAGTCAGTTTCTTTCTCAAAATCACCCTCACACACCTCTCACACTTAATAATCTCTTACATGTGCCATCTATTACCAAGAATCTCATAAGTGTGAGTCAGTTTTGTCGTGACAATCAGGTATACTTCCTTTTCACAGCTGATTCGTGCTTTGTCAAATGCCAGGTATCTAATGATGTTCTGCTAACTGGTCATGTGGGGTCTGATGGGCTGTATGAGTTCCCTATGCTCAACCTTTCCAAATCTACTATGTCTACTAAGCCCTTAGCTTCTTTAAACAAACTTGTACCTTTTGTTAATACTGTTGATGTTTCTCCTGCTTTGTCCAATGTGTGGCATTTAAGACTAGGCCATCCTAATATCAACACTTTGAGATTGGTGCTGCAAAGTTGTAATCTCAAATTTAGCAATAAAATTCATGATTTTTTCTGTTCTGCTTGTTGTGTGGGTAAATTACATAAATTGCATTCACCTGCCTCACACACCACTTATTCTCACCCTTTAGAGCTTGTGTACTGTGATCTGTGGGGACCTTCTCCTCAACCTTCAGCACAAGGCTTTACCTATTATATCTCATTTGTAGATGCCTTTTCCAGATTCACATGGCTGTATTTGCTTAAAACCAAAGCTGAAGCACTTGGTGTCTTCAAGCAGTTTAATTCTCTTGTGGAACTGCAATTTGGTTTTCCTATCAAAGCTATTCAGTCATATTGGGGTGGAGAATTTCGTCCCTTCAACAAGTTTCTTTCTGACCTTGGCATTGTGCACAGAGTTATCTGCCCTCATACTCACCACCAAAATGGAGTGGTGGAAAGGAAGCATAGGCACATTGTGGATCTAGGCTTGACTCTGTTAAGTCAAGCCTCTCTACCATTAACATACTGGGATTATGCCTTCACCACAACTATCTTTCTCATCAACAGACTTCCCTCCTCAGTTATTCAATTCCAGGTTCCCTACACTCTTCTGTTTCACATTGCTCATGACTACAAGTTTCTGAAGGTGTTTGGTTGTGCTTGTTTCCCTCTTCTGAGACCTTATCACGCACACAAGCTGGAATTCAGGTCTCATGAATGCTTGTTTTTGGGTTATTCTAACTCTCACAAGGGTTATAAATATCTTTCCCCTAGTGGCAAGCTTTATATATCCAAAGATGTTTTGTTCCATGAATCCAGATTTCCATATCTAGAGTTGTTTTCTCCACCTATTTCTCCTACCCTGAATGTCAATACACCTACCAGTCAGACACCTTCATCATCTCTATCCTCCCTGTTTTCCAGCATCCCTCTTCCTAAGCCTGTGCCACTAACAGTTGTTCCCTTTTCTTCTAATAACTTCCCTGCCCCTGTCATTCCCTCCAGTTATTCTCCTTCTACAAGTCAAGGAGGAGACATCTCTCCCTCTCTTACTGAACTTGTAACCAATCTTTCTTCTCCCTCTCAGTTGTCCTCTGTGGCATCTCCTTCAAAACCTCTGACAACTACCCCTACACCATGCTGCCTACCTGCTAATGCTGTAACAGTTATCTCTAAACCTGTTAATCAACATCCTATGGTCACAAGAGCTAAAACTGGCTTTGTGCAACCAAAGGTGCTACTCACTCATACAGAACCCAAAACTGTAAAGCAAGCTCTTGCAAATACTAAGTGGAAAGAGGCTATGCAGTCTGAATTTGATGCCCTGAGTAGCAATAACACCTGGACTCTTGTTCCCCTTCCTCCTCATAGGCAGTCTATAGGCTGCAAGTGGGTGTTTCATATCAAGGAGAATCCTGATGGCTCTGTCAGCAGGTACAAGGCACGCCTTGTAGCAAAAGGGTTTCATCAGAAGCAAGGGTGTGATTTCAATGAGACCTTCTCTCATGTTGTAAAGCCAATTACAATCAGACTCATTCTAACCATTGCCCTCACCCACAAATGGTCTCTTCAGCAGCTTGATGTTAACAATGCTTTCCTGAACGGGCTTCTTCATGAAGAAGTCTATATGGATTAACCTCCTGGCTTTGTCAGCTTAGATTCCTCTCTTGTGTGCAAACTGCATAAAGCACTATATGGCCTGAAGCAGGCTCCTAGGCAGTGGTTTGAAAGGCTGCAAGAGGCCCTCCTTAGACTGCATTTCAAACCCAGCAAGTGCGATCCTTCCTTGTTCATCTTTGCTGCCAATGGTAACATTGTTTATTTACTTGTGTATGTGGATGACATTATCATCACCAGCAACAATACTACCCTGCTTCAGTCTATTATTCATCAACTCAATGCTGCCTTCTCTCTCAAACATTTGGGAGACTTGGATTATTTTCTTGGGATTGAAGTAAAATCTGCTGCTCATGGATCTCTTCTCCTTACTCAATCCAAGTATGTTAGGGATTTATTGCACATAACTCACATGGCTGATTCTGTCCCTATTGCCACTCATATGCAGTCCTCCTGCAAGCTAACTAAACTTGGCTCCCCTGCTCTTACTGATCCTTATATGTACAGGTCAGTGGTTGGTTCCCTTCAATATGCAACCATTACATGCCCTGATATTGCCTATGTTGTAAATAAAGTTTGCCAGTTTATGTCTCACCCCCTTGAAACGCATTGGGTTGCTGTTAAGAGGATTCTTCGATATCTCAAGGGCACTGTTCAGTATGGTCTTCATCTCTCTCCTTATGTTCCATCTGAAGTTCCCTCTCTTCAAGTTTACTGTGATGCTGATTGGGCTTCAGACCCTGATGATAGGCGTAGTACGTCTGGTGCAGCCATCTATTTTGGAGGAAATTTAGTATCCTGGTGGTCCAAGAAGCAACCTGTGGTTGCCAGGTCCAGCACAGAAGCAAAATACAAGATTCTAGCTCAGGCCACTGCTGATTTACTCTGGCTTCAAACCTTGTTAGCTGAACTCTGTGTACCTGCCAAACAACCAGTGGTTTTGTGTGACAATCAGTCTGCAGTGATGCTGGCTCACAATCCCATTATGCACTCCAGGACGAAGCATATGGAAATTGACCTCTTCTTTGTGAGAGAAAGAGTTCTTGCCAAGCAGATTTGTGTAGCTCACATTGCTGGTGTGGATCAAATTGCTGATGTGCTCACCAAACCTCTCTCTTCTGCTAAATTCCTAGATTCCAGGCACAAACTCAGGGTTGCTTCATGCAGCTCCCCATGAGTTTGTGTGTGTGTGTGGGGGGGGGGGGGGGGGGGGGGGTGTATTAGAGTAAGGCAAATAATAGAAATGTTAAGCCTTGTTTTAAGCTTGTTATGACTGGCACTTGTTATGTTCTGTATGCTTGCCTACCTGTTGTAGCAGGTCACACAGATTACCTTATGAATGCAACTGTGTGCACTATCTGTAACTAACTTTTGCAGTTCAAATAACAGAAATGAAAAGTTTCTCTATATTTTCTATCTCTGCTATGTCTTCTATCAGACTTTCTAGCGGAAAAGTCACCGTAACTTTAGTTATAATTTTGTTGTTATGGCCAGAACTTTGAACAAGAAATAATATATAAATATATGAAGTTGTAAGATAAATGAGAAAATGATCTAAAATGATGGTAACTATTGAGAAGCCAGAGTCACTCAAACCTTATCCCTGAAATTCCTACTTTTTAGTATGACTTCTCTCTCTCACTTTTTCAGAACAATATTTAATATTTTCTTCATCTCTAGATCGAAACCTGCAAAGTTACAACCCTCAAAAGAAGATGGATTCAACAGTTTCAGGACTGTTAACAAACATGTTAGACAGACTAGTAACAACCGCTTTTCACAACATTTCAATGGCAAAAGGTCTTGACACAGACATAACCAATCTCCAAAATACTCTCACCATCATCAACGCCTTCATTCTCGATGCTGAAAACAAGCAAACTCAAAGCAACTCCATTTCTACCTGGCTTCACCAGCTCAAATATGTTTTACTAGATGCACGTGATATTCTTGATGAGATTGAATATGAATCTTTGAGGAACCAAGTTCTCAAAGCAAATGGAACTTTTACTACAAAGGTACAACGTTTTCTCTCACCCTCTAGTAATCCTCTTACATTTCGTGTTAAGATGGCTCATAAGATCAAACATGTTAATGATAGGATAGATGAGGTAGCTTCTCTTAGGATGAAATTGGGTCTTTTGGTGTCAGAAAATCATCATGCAAGTGGTAGTGGAAGTGGAATTAATAGTACTAGAGTAAGGAGAGAGACTCATTCTTATGTTAGATCTTCTTATGTGATTGGTAGAGATGAAGAGAGAGAAAAGGTTATCAGTTTTTTGATGGCTCCGCCGTTAGGTAATGATGATGATGAGATTGATGTTATTCCTATTATTGGAATTGGAGGGTTGGGAAAAACAACACTTGCTCAATTGGTTTATAATGATGATCGGGTGATTGGGTTTTTCGATTTGCGTATGTGGGTGTTTGTTTCTGATGTTTTTGATGTTAAGAGCTTAGTGTTGGAGATTCTTAAAGCTATGCATGGGATGGAAATGGACGCTAATATGTATAGTTTTGATCAATTGCAAAATTTGCTTCGCGAAAGGTTATGGGGGAAGAAGTTTTTACTTGTTCTAGATGATGTTTGGAATGAGGATTATAGAGAGTGGCTTGAATTGAAGAAGCTTTTACTAGGGATGCATGATAATGAAGATGGTAAACTTGGTAATAAGATTATCACGACCACTCGCAGTGACAGGGTTGCTTCGATTATGGGGAATGCTTATAAGCACAACTTGAAGTATCTTCCGGAAGAAGATTGTTTAAGGCTTTTTGTTACGTGTGCATTTCCAGAAGGAGAGGGGGAACATCGCCCGAGGCTTGTGGAGATTGGGAAGGACATTGCCAGAAAGTGTAAAGGGTTGCCCCTAGCAGTGATAAGTTTAGGGTGTTTACTTTATTCGAAACCGAATGAAAGTGAGTGGAAGAAAGTAAGAGATAGTGAATTTTGGAAAGTGAACCCTGAAGATGATGATGGCCTTTTGGCTGCGTTGAAACTAAGCTATAATCACTTGTCCTCTGGTTTGAAGCAATGTTTTGCTTATTGTTCAGTTTTTCCTAAGGGTTATGAGTATACTAATTTGGAGCTGATTTCATTTTGGATGGCCCATGGACTACTGCAACCGAAAAATGAAGATGAAGAACCAGAAGATCTTGGGGAGTTTTATATTCAAGAGCTAGTTTCAAGGTCTTTCTTTGAATGTGCTTCTGAAGAACAACTGGTTATTGACGGTCTTATTTCCGAAGAGCTTGAACTTCTAGGCATCTCCTTTTTCAAAATGCATGATCTTGTTCACGACCTTGCCGTGTTCACAATGCAAAATGAAAGGGCAGTAGTAAAATTTAGTTCAACAAATATTAAAGAAAAAGTTCAGCATTTATCATTTTCAGATAGTGGTGGAGGAGTTCCTACATTTGGTAAAATGTCGAGTAACATCCGAACCATTGGATTCTGGCACAGGGGTCAAAAGGAACTTGCAATCACCGAATTGTTTTTCAAATGGATCTCTAACAGCAAGTTTAAGTACCTCAGAGTGTTGAATATTAAAGGTTCTAATTTTCAGTTCTTGCCGGATTGTTTCAACAAAATGAAGCATTTGAGGTATCTTGATCTAAGCTATTGCCAGAGGTTGGAAAAACTCCCAGATTCCATTTGCAAGCTTCAAAGTCTAGAGGTATTAAATCTCTCGAGATGTGTAGCACTTGCATACATTCCCCCAAAATTGAGGAACCTTGTCAGCCTTAGGATATTGTGGATTACAACACAAGTCACTGATTTGTCTTTCATAGGTATTGGAAACTTGAAATATCTACAAATTTTAATTCTGTGGAATTGTGATAGTTTGGTCTTCCTTCCACGCGATTTGAGGCACCTGACTTCTTTAAAGAAACTGACGATTGAGGCTTGCGTAGAGGTGATACGTTTTGATGGTGAAGAAGAAAAAGAAGAAGAAAATGAAAACTACACCTTGAAACTCGAGCGATTTTCAATTGACAAATTACCCAATTTGGCAGTATTACCTGGTTGGCTTAGAAAATGTGATAAAACTTTGAGGTACATGGGCCTTTCAGAGTGTTCGAGTCTAAGGGCATTGCCAGAATGGTTGGTAAATCTAACATCACTCGAGACGCTTCTAATTGCTGACTGTCGAAAGTTGACATTACCCCAGCATATGGATCGTCTTCAAAACCTTCAGAATTTAAAGATATATGGATGTCCTCAGCTAGTTGAGAGATGCAAACAAACTACAGGTAGTGATTGGTACAAGATAGCTCATATTCCAAATGTTGAAGTAAGTCCCCCATTCGCCTCCTGGTTTTACTCCGGCATGAACTGCACATTTGTTTCTGTTTGTTACTAACTTTTCTTTTCTGTTGTTTTATCATGCAAGCTTGGAAGCGATTAGGACCACTGACAAAATTGCGAACACAATCACCAAATATGATGAAGACTGAAAAGATTTTGAAGTTTGCATTACTCAATTTCACCCAAAGTTGCCCGTATAAGAGTTGAAATGAGCAAAATAACATTTGCTTCTCAAGTAAGGCTTCTCCTAACAAAGCAGAACCACTTCCAGATCAAACTTGTTGCCCAACTTTTAAGCACTGGCCTTCAAGTAAATTTTCTTAATTATTGTATAATGACTTTTTGCACACACTCCTTAAGGGGATGACCATTGTATAATCATCTTGCCACAAATAGAAGAGGACTTGAGTTAAAATGTTTTCACACAACTGATACACTCACTTACCATTCTTACACAGTTTCATGATATCTTCATTTTTAAAAGCCATTTCACTTTATTAGCAAACTTTTCCTATCTTCTTTCAACAAGACGTTATTCTCTTCATTCTGTGAATAGGCGTGTTGCAGTATTTCTCTTCATTCTGTGAATAGGCGTGTTGCAGTATATGTTACGCGTCGTTGAAATTGTTGAATGATGACTTGAATAGGATAAGGGACAGAGTGGGAAGGTAATCAAATTTCTTAAGTTTGTGAATAATTTTGTTGGAGATTCTTGAAGTGTAGGGTTGAGATTTTGTGCTAGTAGTAGGTAAGGGTGTAGGTGTAGAAATCAATGGATTTGTTAAATATGCTTGGATCTCAACCCCAGAAACTAGTTCAAAGGATGTGGTTGTCCTCAGATATTTATACAATCAACAGCCCGAAACCTAAGCAATATGGGGACTTCAACCAAATTTCAACAACACAACTATCAACTTCAACAAGTTTCATGTTGGAGGGGTGATCAAATGGAGTGGAATGATGAGTTTGTTGTTTGTATGCAGGGGATGATATGTTGGCATCAAGATAGTCACTAGTGTTGTCAAGGAAAGGTAAAGTGTGGTCAAGAATTCTGTGTTGGTGTAATGTGCGCTAGAGGTATTGTCGAGAACAAAGGGAAAATAATCTTCTTAAAAAACTACATTTCTTGAAATGAAAATTTCTCGAGTATTTAGACCATGAGGATGCGACATTTGATTCCTTGTTTATAATCAAGAAATATGCATTTCTTGGTTCAAGAGGGTCAAGTTTGAGACACCCTTGGAAATTGGTTAGTGCAAAAGCTAGGCAGCCAAAGACTTTGATAGCAGTATAATTAGAAGAAGTTCATAGGAAATATGCATGACAAACAACATAGTTCCAAAAAGTTGTAGGTAAATTGCATTGAAACACGAGTGCCCTTGTGATATTAAGGAATAATATGCTAATAGGCTTAATGGAATGATAGGAATAATAGACTCAATGAGTGACATATATGGTCAGTGACACCGGTGTCAATGATCTGATGCTTAGTCAAAGGAGCATTGTTTTTAATAAAATAGATTGATGCAATACTTGATGAAGAAGCATGCACAATATGAGTGCACACCATGAGTGCCATTATTGGATTCAGGTTCTCACTTCCCTAACAAGGCAACTAACTTCTTGTACATATCTCGAGATATTTCAACCTTTTGCAGCTTGCCATCCTCAGGGATATTGGCAAGTTCAGAACTGGAAGCAAAATTGTCAACATTATTTGTAAAGGCAGCCTTATACTGGAAGGCTATGTTTAAAATAACAAGATTATAATGTATGACTAACCTTGCCACAAAATGAACAAGTTTTGAAATTAATTTTTTTCTTTCCTGAGGAGTGAATCTTCCACATTCTCCGGCAGAATTGAACAACTGATCTCGTTGTAGAGTTTACTAACACCGTATGTAGGCCGGCAATAAATTGAACCGACTCAAAAAAGTAGTAGGAGAATCGATTTAATAATTAATTCATTGAATTTGATTAATGAACTAAAAAAATAAGTTGAATTTAAGCTCAAAATTATGTTTGAAAAATAAATGAATTGAATTTGATAAATATATAAATACTAGAGTTTTGCTTTTGGTACCTAAATCTCATGGGTCTTGGTTGTTTTTTTTAAGCAAGATATAATAGAAAGGAGTATAAAGAGTACTTGAACCTGATTACAAAAGTGTGAGATAAAATTTGAGAAATGGGAAATTATATAATCAGCTGTACCTTGAGACAAGTAAAACAAAGAACAATTGTGAAACTTATAAAAGATACAATTGAAAAAAGTAATTCCTACGCAAAATCACCACCTCTTTACCGGAAATTTGACTTACTGATCAATAACCAAAAAGCTCTTCCAAACAATCTAAATCGATCAAAACATCTGATAGAGCAAACTCAACCTCTAATAAAAAACGATCTGATGATCATTTTAACAATTTCAAATTCACCGTCCTTCCCACCCTTCTGGCTTTATCAGATTTCTCCAATTCATCGATTCTCTTCTTGTAATCCTTTAAAGAGTCCCCACCAAGATTAGAAATTGCCTTCCGTAACTTTTCACCCATGCTTGAATCGAGATTCTTTGCATTCACCTTTACTCTGCGTGAAAACCTATCCTCTGAACCGACTGAGTTAGAAGAATGATGTTTCCGAACTACAAACTGCCTATGATTATCAATTTTATTAGCACAAATCGATGATGATTTTGCCACCGACTCTTCCCTACTAATTTCAATATTTGTTTCATCTAATTCCACCGATTGCGACATTCTTTTTTCCCCCGCTTCCGCTTAATGGATAAAGGACCTGCCATATCATAAATTGATTACAACTTGGGTCATCTGTTAACCACACCTAACTTCTTCTGAGCCGAGATATTTAGTTTAAAGAACGTGTCAATAGAGAAATCTGTTACTGCATCTGGAATCATAGGATAATCCAGAAATTGAGAAATGGGATCAGAAGATCAGAAGAAATTAGAATTGGAGCAGTTGCAGTAAATTCCTTCGCTACCGCACTAGCTTTATCAAAAATACTCAGGCCCTTCTGCATACCAGGCTTAAAGTGACAAGCAGAATCAGATTCTACCACTACTATAAAACGCGCAAACAACAACACCAAAGTCACCACGATTCGCCCCAAAATCATAGTGAGTGCTAAACTAATGCGCTAACATTTTATTTTTATTTTTTATTGAAAATTTAAGTTTATAATTACAGTTAATTCTCTAACCGTGGTGACACAGTCCAACTTTCATGGGTTCGATCCTCAGCCCCCTCAAATAGTCTATCCCTTTTACTTTAATGCACGCATTTTCAATTATATTTATATATAATAAAAAAATAATAGGTATATCACTACGACTCTTTTGAACAACCATTGTTACACACTGGCGATTCTTTGTATATATTAAACACTAAGTACCCATTCTTCCACTGATAAAAGAAATAAACCCTAACACCAACGCCGTCAGGAAGAAGAACATAACACTCATTGTTGTTGTCCATAATCGTCTCAATGTCTCATTCCAAGGGTGTAAAATCTCGATCTGTAATTTTTTATGCTTGTGATTGTTGTATGGTTTCGTTCCTATGCAAGAGGGGTCAAAATGAAGGAAGGTTTTTTTGAAGATATCTAAATTGGTGGACTGGTGAAACATGTAATTTGATCATTATGGGATGATGAACAAAAATTGGAAGATGAGAGTTCTATGATGCCAGAGTTAAATTCTGTTGGGTATTTGAAGGTTATGTATACAAATTCAAAAAAGAAGAACAAGAATTTGAAGAACAGAATGAAGTCATAGAGGTTTTCTGGAAATTTAAAGATGTTATGTTTTCTTATCTCCTTTTTTTTAATCTTCACTTTGTTATAAAATGTAATAGTTGAATTAGGGTTTGAAATTTGAAAATGTTATGTTATCTTATATCTTTTATGTTTAATGTTTTCTATACTTTGTTATGAAATGTAAGAGTCGAAGATAGATGCAACTAATGGACCATTTCTTACGAGTAAGTTCATCATAATAATTTTCAGTTACAATAATGTGTTTTATATATTTTGAAGTTTAAGTGATAGGTTAAGTTGATAGTTTAAGATGAATAACCTTAAGAGAGTTAAGCAGAAAGATTAAAACTTCATTACATAAATTTTCATTACATAATCAAAAATCATAATCAAATTTAAATCTTCTCGCTGAGATAAAGTTAGAGCAATCATAGTCAGCCTCATCATCATCATCAGAATTAAAAAAAACATCATTTGCCTTCTCAACCTTCTTCTTTTTCTTATTCTTATTATTATTCTTCACCCCCCCCCCCCCCCCCCCTCACCTTGAGAGCTCTCATTAGTCTAAACACAACACCCTTTATAGTAACATCTTGAATCTGAGGATGGTTTTGCACCACAACACCGGCCTCTACAGCAACATCTTGATTTGAGGCTGGTTTGGCACCACAACACCCTTTACAACAATATTTGGATTCTCAGTATTGTTGGTGGCTTGAGCAGGATAACACGTGTTGATTCTCAGCTTTGTTTTGTGTCTTGGTTCTTCCGTTTTTATGTTGTTCCTTCTGATTCTTCATCTTCTTATCTTGGAAGTTTAAAAACCTAAACTGCTCATCATTGTTTCTTTAATTCTATACGCTTTCTTTTCTCTTGGAAATTGGAAAGATTTCATTTCTTGAGTTGTTCAAATTTTATTATTTACTTAATAAAATTGTGTACTTGTAATTAATATAAGTTTTGATATCAATTAAAAATTTGTTTAGTGTTGATTCTGGTATGAAAATTTGATATTTATTCAAATACTATACCATAACAGTTATTATTAATAACCGTTGTTATAAGGCGCGCGCTTTCCAGATTAATACGACGATCACTGGACTGTGATTGTAAGTACCGCATATACAACCACACACTACATGATAATGCCTGGTTCTGTATGGTTATATATCTTTTCCAACCATTGTTAAATGTCTTTTCCGTAGTAGTGCATATTCTTAGATTTAGGTCCGATACCAGAGTAAAAAAATTCTGCCTCATACTGTTGTTCTAAAATTTCCAAATTTCCTTTATTATCATCACAATAACAAATTCCTCCACCAA